TGGAGACTGGAGAGGGTGCTGGAGCTGCACTGGAGCTGGAGCTGACGTTGCCATAGGTACTGAAGCTGACTCTGGGACTGGCACGTTTGCTGGAGATGGTGTTGGAGCTTGAGATAGCTGGAGCTGGGTGATGGGAGCTGTGTGCGTTCTGCTCCTCACCGTTTTGTGCTGTGGTGTTCGTTTTGTTCGAGCAGTTCTAGTTGGCAAGATTGTGAATTACCGATTGGTCCAGGAGCCGCGATTCATAGCCATGAGCTGTGAACATACATAGGAGGTGCTGCTTATCGACCAATACCATCGGATTTAGAAATGTCTCCTTTTGGTAATCATTGGTTAGTTTCCGTGTTTCCCAGCATCTCTGGAACGACAGACACGTTTATTATGTATCTCGCCAGTCTTTTTCACCCAGTATGTCGATACTCGATACCCTCTCACCGCCCAGCTCCCACCCTACTCCGCTGTCACTCCATTCCATCCGTCATGTCACCAGGTCCATCGTGGTCCTTTCGTCGCCACCCTATCATCAGTCCCTTCACCGTCCGGTGCTGTGTTGTGTGGGATAGCCCGAGGTGTGGGCGGGCGGGGCTGGATGTAGGCCGTGGGCGCATGTTTACTGTCATGGCTTCCACCGCACGGAGGCACCAAGACGCGCGCACGTGCCGGCGATGAGTCACGTGACTCAGGGTCAGCTGATGGGTTACGTGACTCGGGTCAGCTGACTGCGGGCCGGTAGTGCTGAGTCGGTGGGGCAATCAGCACGAATTGGGGGAAGGGAGATAGGGCGGGGCGAACTCACGTGCTATAGGGTGTCGTCAGAGGTTTGGCTCAGGTGAAGGTCCATCTGGCTTAAACCTACGGGTGGTGTAGTAAATTGAGCTATGTTCGTGATGGATGACGGCATTCTCGCCGTTTTAATCATGATTGCATAACTAACAAAAGGGTTTTGATTAATTCCTTCCGTCTCACTTTAGCGGTAATGGGCTGTCTCAGATATCTTGCTGATAGATCTCCCAGCCGCCAAGCCCATCCGCCTACGAATCTTGCTAATCAAATAACCAAATAAACACCCACGGAGACTGCTGGAAAATGCGTTGCGGCCGTGTCCTAAAAACCGCTGGATCTTAGTGCTGAAAATAGCACCGCCTGGGAAATGGTGGAACGTTCTCAGAGCCCTGGCTATAGATCCCTTGGGACGTCGCTCGCCGCCGCTGTGATCCGCCCACACTGGGAGAGTTTTCACGGCTCCGTAGTTTGCCGGCGCCTTGCCTCCTACTGCGGGGGACACAGCGCTGAAAGGCAGTGGTGATGACGTTCGTGACGGATTAGCGTTCGTGACGGATTAGTATTCGTGACGGATTGACGTTCGTGACAGATTGGCTTACCACCAATCACCGCTGGTCGGTACTGTCGAGTGTTGACTGGGCAGGGTTCTGTTGGACTGTGGAGTAGGTTAAAACAGACCCCGCGTTCGATGTCTCCCGGACGGCGAAGATTCTACGCCGTCCGACCAATCACGTTCCATAACCGCAGCCGAGCCCCCACTGACCTTGGACGGGATTGGCCGGACGACGTAGAATCTTCGTCGTCCGAGAGACATCGAACGCGGGGAGAGTTGGTGGATGATGTTGGTTCCGTTTGGTCCGGCTTTAGTAGTTGCGTTGCGTAACTCTGTTAGCGCCGCTCATCTGAATACAGACGGCTTAACGAACACGAATGGGAACAGTTTGTTAGAAACGTTAGGCAGATTACCATCGATTAAGTAGATTACCTACTCTGCATTCCTCACGCAGCTCTATCCTGTGACCCTGCTGGCAACATTAGAAAATCTTGATATTTTCTTATAAGAGGAGCAATCTAAAATGTCGAACTTTGTCGTACTTTTGTCTTGTGTGACGATATTGAACTCCTTGCTGTTCTACCCCATGTCACCATTACCATGAATGGCGCCGTTTTGTTGTGCCGCCCCAGCTGCCGCGTGTTGCCATTCTGTGCCGTTGCCGCCGCGGCTCGGTGCTGCCCGGCGTTTGTGGCCGTTACAGCGGCCCTATGTCAGTGCTGCCGGCCGCCGAGCCTGCCATGAATACTGATCGGGCCGCGCCGCCACTGTTCGGTTCGAACGTCCAGCGCTGCCGTCACCGCTGCTGTCCGAACTGCAGCTATTTACGGCTTCGTCACAAACCCCGAATCAGTGTTCCGACTATAAACCCGGACATCGAGCTGTGTTTGCATTGGTTTACTGTAGTTCTTTCCTTTGGATTGCTTATTGCTTATTGCATTTGATGACATTTGAATTTTGTATTATGTTTTGCACCATTGTATGAGCCAGTCTCCTCTATCTTCACCCCTCCACTCATGCGTATCTCTCGGTTCTCTCGGGCCCTGCCGTCAGCCGACCGTCGATTTCCGTACCGTGCCGACGGAGCGGTGGGCTCGTCGGTTCCGACGGTGGGCTCGTCGGTTCCGACGGTGGGCTCGTCGGTTCCGACGGTGGGCTCGTCGGCAGCGTCGGCGTCGGCGGCTCCGGAGTCTGCACTGGGCCAAGGACGGTCGCCGGTCGATGACGCCGTCGTCAGGCTGCTCTCTCTCCCTCCGCCGCTCAGCTCTCTGCCCGCCCTCCTGCTCTCTCTGGCTTCCCTGCTCCTCTCTGCTCCTCCCTGTTCGTCTGGGTTCTCTCTGCTCGTCCTCACTCCTTTCCGCTCCTCTTGGTGTCCCGATCCTCTAGCAGCTCTCTCTGGGCTTATTCTCTTTCTATCCCGGCTGTTTTTTGCCAGCTCGATCAATGGTCTCCGACTTCGTCAATACGACTTCCGACGACCATTTTCAGGCGAGCCTTTGTCGTTTCGCTCCTCTTTCCGCTTCTCTTTCAGGCATTTCCTGCTTCCTTAGTCGGCTGATGTGCTCTGGATTTGCGCTGACTAAGCTGGGCTACTCGACCAAATGGCTACATTTTATTCTAAAACACTCCCCAGCGTGCTCTTTTTGTACTTTCTTTTTGTACTTTCGATAAAATTGACTTTCGGTCAATTTTATCAGCTCTCAGTTTCACTGACATACAGCCTGCCGTTCTGGATTTCATAGCTCAGATATGTGAAAGAAACCTCGCTGGACCGAAATGCCTCCTTTGAATAGCTTCAGAGTTGTCGCGCTCGATAGCAGCTGACTGCTGCCGGAAAATTGTCAGCTATCCTACCGATTGCTCACGATCGTTCCCTGGTTCCCTGTTTATGGCTCGTCCCGCTGGAAGTTATGCCTGTCAGCTAGAGCATTGATCGACTGACTAATCAGGCTCGCTATTCGGCGAGGACTATTATAATTTTATGGCGTGTCAGCTGTCGACTGAAGAGCTATGTTCGGCGACAGGCCGCAGACAGCTGTGCAGCATTCTTTCCTCAGTGGTTCTCATTTTCCCGCGATATTTTCCACGAAGCGGTAGACAGCCGTTAGAACACGATTCTGCTGGTTTCGCTGGATTGTTGAAGGCTTCACACATTTTTCCTCGACACGAAATTCGTTTTAATCAAATTATGCCGGTCCTCGACGCTCTGCTCAGCGTAGATTTGCTAGATTTACACCAAGACACATTTTCCTCTCTGAAACGGTGCGTCGTGCGGCCTCATCTATGTTGAAGTAAGATTTTTAAAGATGTGGTACATTTGAAACTACTGATTAGCCTCGGCTTGCTCTAAAAGCTCAATGAAATAAAAATAGCCACATTGAAGCACAACACGTACGGTTGAATGTTATACTCGTACGACACGATGAAATACCTACGTTCATAGCTCGCAGCTTTGTTGATTGTTAGATCTGTAATCTGTATTCCCGGCAGCATTTATTCCTGTGACGTGGTCTCTCAGCCGGGGCATCTCCCAGCCATGTCCTTTATCCTCGCCGGGCCCAGATTGGCCGCAGTCTGGCCGGCTCTCCGACGATGGCACGTCTCGGGACTCAGGGCCGTGTGATTGGCCCCGCGATTCCCTGCGGCGCAGTTGGCCTCTGTTCTCTGGCGTCATCAGCGTCTGATGACGCTATGTTGCCGAGCTACCGCGGCTCCCTGGTGGCACATCCTTCGCTCAGCTCTGGACGGGCTCGCCAGGAAGAGTGCTCTAGCCTCTCAGCTTCTTTGGTTCGGGGCCCTCGAATACTCTCCCAAAGCATGGGAGAGTCCCCTGAGCACTCTGGTGCGTCTTGAGACGAGGGCCGGTGGAGAGAGATTTCTGTCGTTTCTGAACTAAAAATGGGCAAGATCAGAATTGCAGGTCGCCAAATATGCTTAGTACTACTCTTCGGGCTCCGTTGTTCATCCATTTCACTTACAGTTGAACGTAAATCACTCGTTCTACATGGCTCGTGACAGCATCGTACCCACACTACAGTTGGTTTTGTCGTACGCTCACAATACTGCTAACCGTGTTAGCCCGTCCCATCACCGCTGCGCGACAATGCCACTCACAGTACTTTGTTCGGTTTTTGTCTCCGGTTTTGTCCTTTGTTCTGGCTGGGGACCATGTGCGGCTATCAGTGAGTGTCGTATGGTGTGTTCCGCTGAGGGCGGCGCTTTGCTGTCAGGCCCTCCGGCACGAGCTGTGTGATTTGGCCGACCATCTGGTGGTCCGTGTGATTCGGGGGATTCTCTGGTGATCCATGTGATTTGGGCTTTACGAGCCAGTGGTCTGTGTGATCGTGGCTGCTGGGCTAGCACCGTGAAGGACCAGCTGCCGACTCGTCATGTCAGGGGATGCAATTCCTCTGTCGCGTGCGGCTATGACATTACACCCGTTTGTGTGTATGCTTCATTTTAATTTAGCTCTTTTTTGTTAATGATCTATCACTTGTCAGGTAGTGTCCTTTAATGGTGTGTGTCCAGCTCTTTCTTCTTACAGCGCTTCATTGTGATTTCCACCCGCAGCTGACTGCTTCACTGCCTGGTGCCTGAGCCTCTCTATTACTACACACGTACCCAAAGTACGACCCATCTAACTTCTGCTCTCCTTCCTCCACAGAACAAGGACCACGAGACACCTCTCCACTCTGCCTGTCAGTACGGTCACACTGCCGTCGTCCGTCTCCTGCTCGAGCACTCCTGTGACGCCAGCGTTCCCAACTGCCGAGGGGAGACGCCGCTCGACCTGGCCGCACAGTACGGACGACTGGAGGCTGCTGAATTGCTGGTGCGCGTACGGCCCGGGCTGCTGGAGCCGTACAGGCCAGGAGCGCAGCCTCCCGGTCAGCGGCTGACCCATACGCCGCTCCACTCTGCTGCTATGAACGGGCACAGGTGGGTAATGAGACGGTGACTAATGGTCAGAGAAAGAGGTTATATGAACAGGTATAGGCGGGGAGCAGGACGGGAGGACGAGAGATGTGGCCGGTTTGAAGGCTGATTATGATAGTTTGTTCACATATTCAATGTTCGCGACTGTTGGCGTGTCGCTAAGCTGTGTTTTCGTTTGTAATCCTCAGATAATCCTTGATTGATATGATCATTATGTCGCTTCAATTTTAAACGCTTCATGACATCTAGCCAGCCAGTCTTGTTTTAATACCACCTCGGATTGACAAAGTGTGCCAATGCGTAAACTCGACATCGGTTTTAAATAATCCTCTTGCTAGCGAACTAGAAATTTGTATTAAACCCTTGGCTGAAGAAATGGACCCTTCTTTCACTCCGTACGCCAAGATGCAGAGTGGCATACCGTGTCACATTTGGGCGTTATCGCTTTGCCTGCGACAGCCGTCGCTCGCCACTCACTCTAATACAGTCCCAGTCGGCCATAACAGTCTCAGTGTTCCTCCAAACGGGCCGTCGGCGTGGCAATTTTCGTTATGTACGGCGCACTGCGGGGTTCCGTATCAGACCAGTGTGGGTCGGGAAGTGGCGGCGTTGCATGGCTCTAGAACATAGCTCTACGTTGTGGTGGTGTCGACCGTGGCGGCGGCGGCGGCGGCGGTGGAACAGTGACCCAACTCTGACCCTGTGTCGGTTGTCTGGCACCACCCCCGCCGCCGCCCCCGCCCCCGCCGCCGCCCCCGCCCCCGCCCGTGGTCTGGCCCGTCGCGTCGGTGGCTCTAACGGCTCGGGGAGAGGAGTTTGTGTCATCGATCTTTCGACGGGGAGGGACTGGGGTTGAGAGCAGGGAGGGAGAGAGGCCGTCTGCCGGTCTCCGGGCTCTGAGGCGCCGCGAGCCCATCGACCACGCCCACCTGACACACAGGGAGACTGGGTGAACTGATGGGAGGTGATAGAGTAGATGAGGGCTATGATACTGCTGATGTAGAGAGATTGTGGTGCTTTGTCCCAGCTAAGAGATGGATGACAGTACAAAAATGTGCGTGAGCCACCTAATTCAGTATACCCTGCGTGAGCCATGCACGTTTCTGGCTAGAGCTTGTGGAATGTAATGGTAATGATTATCCGTTTTATTTGTTCGCCAATGTTAATGGCTAAACATGAACAAAATGCTGGACAATGGCCAGCACTGAACCTGATGTACCTTTGAATCCATGAGTTTCGAAATTGTCTGGTTTTGTGCACAGATTGAGGCACCTTTTCCAGTCTGTTTAAAGGTGTGTTCTCGTGATAGGCTTATCAAGCTCACTGATACAATAATCATGTATACCGACCACATAATGTGAAAGCGTGGGAAATTACACTGGATTTATGCGCTTTAATGGATACATAATAGCGCCTTCATAAAACACTGGAACAATTTGCTTCCCGTCACTCTCTTCACCTCTTGTCGCCTTTCCGTTGAGCTACTGTTTCTCCATAACTCTCCTAAATCACACTTTATAACGCTGTCGTTATGCACACCGTCCCGTATCGTGACGAAACCGGTCCTGACGTAACGCCGTGACGGGCAGACGGCGTCCGTCTCCGTGACGTGACGCGGCATACCGTAACGGGGCGCGTCACGGCACGAGCGCGAGTCGTGAGCCCTCACCAGCGCATCCCATGGGGCCTTTGAGTCCATTACGGTATTACGGGGTGTCTCACTGTGGATGGTGAGACAGGCTTCCGACTGATGAAGACGTGTGTGAGTTGTGACAGCTGTGGACTGACAGAGTGGCACTGGGCTGAGGGTCGGGAATGGCTGAGTGGTTTGAGAGAGAAGGTTTTCCTGCCGGAATATGTTCTCGCGAGTGCAAGTGATCTTGAGCTAAACGGTGACACACTGCCTGCAGCCGTGACAGCTGGGGCAGTTGTGGCTGGCGTCTGGTAGTCGGCAGCTGCAAACATGCCACTAAACATAGGTATACTAAACGGCATCAGACGTAGGTCATCGTGAGATGCATCAATACCTTTTTCCCCTTCATGGAATGATCATTGCCGATAGTTTCAATGAGAGCGAGTTCACTGCATCAACCTGTGTCCGCCCTAGTTCGCTGACCCTCGCCTTCGTTGACCCTCCCTCGCCTTCGGCACCGGCAGGGCGGTGGTGAAGCTGCTGCTGGACTCTGGGATGGACGTCAACTGCAGCACGGCAGCCGGTACCGCCCTGTTCGAGGCCGCGCTCTGTGGAAAAGTCGAGGTGAGTGCTCTGGTACAGCTCAACAGTTACGATGAGCAGCAGGGAATGTGGACGGTGTGGGTGCGGCATGGCAGGGTTGTGCTATAGGCAAGGGTGTAATCATAGTGTGGACATGCTCACTGCGTTAGATAAGTGCACGGTAGTGAAACCCTCTTGCCTTGTTAGGGTGAGGTATGCTGACGGAAGCTATCATAGTTGTGGGTTTTACTGACGCACGTCTTGACATAAATTGCCGAAACCTGTCACGTTTGATTTTACTTACCTCGGGTTCATGCGTACCACCATGACCGCCTATATCATTACGCCCGGTTTGATACGCGGCTCATTCACTGTAGCTAGACGCGAGTAGCCCAAAACGGCCTTAGATTGCAGCCGTTCCGCGCGGGTGTGCGGTACTGGTGCGGGACAGGCCGGATGTCTGCGGTAGCCGCCGTGTTGTGGGTGGTGGGTGGATCCTACGCCGGTCGGGTTTCCGCCCACCGAGTGTCTACAGCCCGCCTTCGCTTCAGAGTTCACTTATAAGCTCAGTTCGTCTAAATCTGTCTCTATTGCCTACTTTGAATGCTTTGAATAAGTGGGCTGAGGATGATACATTCAGCTCGCCGATAGTTCTACTTCCAAAATCATTTCTGTCTGGTGCTGTATGGGGGGGTCAACTGTCTTCTGTTGTTGTCTGCAAGTGCGCTCAGCTGTATAGTGTATCCGTATGTGACTGTCTACATGTGCTAAGTTATCTGTCAGTTATCTGTCACTGACAGCATTCGGTCAGTTGTGTGTGCTGTGCCCTGTCATTGTTTGCACGCGATCAAATGCCAACCTCTGTCTCTATCTATAGGTGGTAAGGTGTCTTCTGGCCGCCGGTGTCGACATTAGCATCTTAGACGACTACGGCAGGGATGTGCTCACACTACTCAACGAGATATCAACACCAGTTACTGCCAAGATCCGACAACTCATACAGGGTAGGTCCCGACGTCAGCTGGGTCTACAGGGTAGGTCCCGACAACAGCCGGGTTAGGCCTCACGGTCTTATTTGAACAGCGTGTGCAGTCCCGGAATCGGTGGTGGGAGGTACGGGTGATTCATATCTTGCTCGAAAGTAACACTCAATGCCACCCTCGTTTTGCGGCGTAGCTAGATGATTTTTGACTAATCTGACTGAAACCATGCTCATAAGAGTCATCGTGGTCTTTCTACAATGTCCACAATGTTGATGTAGTTGCATGGTTGATGCTCGCTTTCCTTAGGTTTGCTGTGCTAATGGTTGTGTTTATCAGTTGAGCCATGTATTGTTTACTCTCGATAAGCAAACACTTATTTGGCACACACCATGGCCCAATCTCACCAAGTGCGGTAAACTCAATTTGGGGTAAAATACCAAACTACCCCACTCCGTAACTACAAAAATACTACCCCGAAATTAGTTAAACTAGCTTGGTGAGATTGGGCCAAGTGCCCAACCTCACCAAGCTAGTTTAACTAATTTCGGGGTAGTATTTTTGTAGTTACGGAGTGGGGTAGTTTGGTATTTTACCCCAAATTGAGTTTACCCCACTTGGTGAGATTGGGCATGGTGTGTGCCAAATGATGAATGTGATGCATATCAGGCAATTAATATCCGGAAGGTCTTCAAGAACCTGCCTGGAGGCACATGTCAGGTGGCTGACATGAGCTCATTCTCTGCGACCTCCCGTGGGGTCCTGTTGGGCGTGCCACACGCGCTTAGCTTCAACAGATACGATCGATATTCGATAGAGATGATACGATACGATATATTGCTTCAAGAGATACGGGTCGAGGAGACGGGCGAAGTATGATTTGCTGCTCAATTTTCACGATGGCGACACTTATGCTGTGCGCTGCAGTGTGTATCTTGCCGGCTGATATCGTTGTTCGGTCCTCTATCTGAAGCTGTTGCTTACGCTGCTCCCTACATTGACTAAGATATGCTAGATAGGTATAAGGTAGCTGTATCTACTGCAAGTGCAGGTCAAACATTGGTGCCTGTTGACTTGCCATTACGAAACGGCCGAATGCTTGAGGGACACTTCCTTCACGTCATTGCTATTTTAAGCTATTTTTAGTTTCCTGATAGCACAACTCACTCCGGTCGGTCAGTCTTGGACAAGCAGCCCCTCTGTCAACTGAGTCGTACTACTTCTATGAACCGTACCTCAGTCGGTTGCCTGATTTATTGCGGGATCTGGATTCACTCCTAAATCAGCTGGTACGCTGCGGTGGGCCTTATCATGGCTCAGCACGACCCTGTTCGGTAATTGGGCACTTGAATCATGGACATGGTTACCGACAAAATAAAGCGCTGGCTGTGGCCGTGATAGATGTGGTTGTAATCACGATAAATGATTATCTTTGAACAGTGATCTTGGTCTCACGATTGTGGTTTCAGCTACTTTATTGTCACAGTCGGCCAGTGATTGCGGATTTCGTTGTGTGCGAAAAGAAAGCAACTCCAGACACTTGTCTGACCTTTAGATGTCTTTGGTTAACAATGAAAAGTGCATTGTTTCCGACTATGAGAAATTCCAAATCCATGGCTTATGTTCACAGCTTCACAAGATACAATCAGGTCACGATTTTTCAATTTCTTAACGAAGTGAACTTTTAGTTCTACTCTCTAGGCATAGATAACATAAATCATGTTATCTATGCTCTAGGTAATAACGTTTTGAGCCGTCGGGGAAACACCACCGAGTGGATCGATCGCCATCTTCCAGTGTGTTTGGGTCGTTAAATCTGCTAGAATACGCCACTTCCGTTAATGAGACTCGTCCAAAGCAATCAGCCGCGGCCGGCTAGTCTCAGGTGGCGTTAACTATTCAGGATTGGCTGGCCAGAACTCTCCCAAGTGGAGTCCCGAACTCGTCGTGATTGATTGAACGGCACGATCGACCGCGGCGCAGAGCGCACTCGGAAGTCGTTAAGCGGTTATTCGAGGTGCACTGTGTTGTTTGGCTTGGTGTACTGGCATTGAATGTTTATTTGCTGTCAGCATATGCTTCTGTCGAGGATTTATTCTGAAAGTTCAAGCACTACGGGTGCACCGCGGCGCTAGTTTGTCATCCAGCTGGTCAGTGATGTGGCCAATTGATTAGGTATGCGAGATCCTATAGATTTATAGGTCGCTGGACTGATCAAAGGTGGGCATTGACGTCATAGTGCTATTGGACTTGTTTCATATCTTTCTCAAGCTGCTTTCATGCAATGGCGAATGAAAGCACGGTTACCTAACGTAATTGCTTTTTTACACTCAGTTATAGGACAGCGAATAGGACAAGTCCGTCACTGACACCGGCAGCATACTTTGGTTTGATTGGATTTTCAAAAGTTACCTGCTTCTCTAAGACCGTTTACGTTGATATATCCCGCACGCCGCGTTTGTATTGTACAATTTTTTTTCAACCCCGGCGCTTCGACATTTTTACGTTTCTTTGTGCTCAACTCCTGGCTTACTCGGTATAAATGGCCCCATGTGCTCGACCGCGTGGCACAGGAGCAGCGCGCCAGCGGCGCTGGGTGGCTCAGCTGGCGGCTGGCGGTGCGGCCTCGCACCTGTCTGTGCCCGCTGTGCGCACTTGTCTTCTGTTGTAAATGACCCTTTTTACGCCGGGGCCACGCCAGCCGCCCTCCCTCCCCGCTGCTACCACCGCTGTGCTGGTGTACCCCTGCCAAATGAGGCTGTCGACAAGGCTGTTACTCCGCGTGCTGGGTGCCCTCGCCTCCCTTCCCAGACGACTAACGGGCGCTACTTCACGCGTGACGTTACGCTGCAGGCCACACGCGAGGTCGGCGTTCTATTTAGCGTTGAGCATAACGTGGCTCTGATCGTGCTTGGTATGTAACGTTCTTTACGGACGTTCGTTGAGTTCGTTTCTTCGTCGTGCAGATGCTGTGAGTCATTGGGTCATCTTTGTTGTGGGATGCCCGTTGTTTGATAGCACATTCAAACTAAGTGTTCGTGACCTATCGCATATTGGTCTACCAAATCTGATGGTCTTACATTGGGATCTTGATGCTCAGTGTCTGATGTTGCCTTTAAGGCAATTCATCTAGGGATATTGGATCATAAATTTACGGGCTTGCATCCATCGGAGATGTTGTATTGGGCCACGACCTTTGGCTATCTGAAATTTATCCTGATATTCCGAGAATCCTCAATCATCCTGAGATCGAATCTGGTCTGTCACTCTCCATAGAAGGTTTGTCACATTCTCTGGTCCCGCTTCCAAACCCAACGGTAACGACGAACGGGTGATACGGTGAGTCGATGACGGTTAACGACTGTAGACTAAAGTTGGTCATCGGCAGCAAAACAGACAAGTCCTAGTTACTTTGAGAGACGCCTTTTTGCGTCAGGAGACCCCCTGTTCCGTTCTTATCTTGCTACCACCCGTCTACCGCATCCCTGAGTCACGTTTCGCGGACTGCTATAATGCCTGCAAAACACTTCTTTTGACACATGCTATTATTATGCTGGTTGCAATTCTTTCAACATCCGCTCACTGCCGCTCTTCCGACACCCGCTGTCAGTCGCTCTCTTGATGCCTCCGTCTACTTCTCTCTCAGCACCAACTTCTCTTCTAACGTCCCCTGGCCGCCGGTCTCTCAACATCCGCTGACTGTATCTCTTCTCACGCTCGTAGGCGCACATCTCTCGCTGTTGTCTCATCATATGAAGACGCGACAAGGATTGCAATAAACACGACCAGTGGATGACAGTCCACTCATCGCTGGAGAGATCCGGGTCTGAGTCTGAGTCAGATTCAGGATCTACATATGCTCGGTGTGCTGAGATGGCTATTGTGCCTTTCAACTTTATTCATATTATTTCGTGGAAGATCCGGAGTCCGCTCTTCGATGCATTGTCGTGTTGATATCGACACCTAATTCACGTGTATGGCTCCACTGCAGTGTGCTTAAGATGGATATGCAATTATGCAAACTGACTGGTCCATTGTCCTAGTATCGTCCTACGTTCAAAGCTGAATCCACTTGTCAACGTCTAACTTGTCGTCCAGCCCAAGGTGATAAATACCGTCCAGCCCACTCTCTTCTACCCTGTCCTGTGGCTACTTCTCCGTCCGTCTCCTATCCGATCAACAAGCTTCCACAGCCTTAGCCGCTATCCTCCTCTCTCCAAAGCCGTAGTCTGCCGTCGATAGACGAGTCTGAATTGATAGAACTGTCGCCTCGAGCAGCGTGACCGCGTTGATAAATACCAGGCGCTGACTGAAAGCCGAGGCTTACTGCTGATTGAAAACCGGTTGTCATCGAAATGTGGGAACGTCACACGGGTGGCTGCATTAAGCTTCGGCTAGGTTGCGGGAGCTGCGTGTTAGATAGATAATGTGCAGTCAGGGAAGTGAGCTTTATGACGAGTGCTAGGTCGGGCTTGTTGCTTGTAGTCAACCTGGCTGGGTTGTTGCTGTTAAATTGGTTATATAGAGTGGCATTTTGGGCCTAACACCGTATTTACTGGATGTGATTCATGTCGAAGACACTTCATATATTAATTATTATCTACTAGAAGTAGTGCATTGACATCATTGGCTCCGGCCAGGCTAGTATGAGCCAGGCCTTCCATAAACGTCATACATTTCGTTCTAGTTGTCAGGACGCCCAGGAACACAAGGACAACAGCTGGAATTGATTGTCAGATGTCGTCATGTTCCCACTCAGCGTATAGGGTTGGAATGTTATTCGGTGTCATCATGTTGACATGGCTTCGTTAAATTTCTAAAAAGAAACTTGCGACACGAAGACGCTTTGCTTGAAAGGAGTCACTTATATGTGGAATATAATTCGCCAAACTGGCAGTAACCTGAATATTTGCATTCTTGGTGCTATGCAATATGCAAGCCGTACCGCTTCAAAGGCATTTATGTTACTTCCTTCACAACCGTCAAACAACTCGGTCGTGCTACTTTGGCACTTCTGGAACACCCGTCTGTATACCAAGCGTTTTAATTTAAGTAAAAGTGGGTAGGTAATGGCCTCACTACACGGACTTCTGTTTGTCGACTTTCGGTCCCGTTTTAGAGAGTCGACAGATCGGTCTCTCGTTATATCGTATGATCGCTATGCAGCCTCTCTGATAGAAAAGCTCTCACCAGAAAGCTATGCCATTTCTGACCAATTATGGAGCTCTTTTGAAGCTCGCATTTTCATGAACTCTCACTTGCCGCTATAATTTTCGACAGCACTTTCGGCTGCTACTGAACCGTTCGATAGCGCCTTCGCTTGCTACACTGCTAGCATTTGACAGCTGCTGCCTCATGTTGCTAATAACATTAGACAGGAACTGTCGCACGTTGCCGATATTCTACAGCGCTCGAAGCCCTCCCTCCGTCCTTTGCTCTCAGCCCTCCGCCCTCCACCCCCGTCCTTTGCTCTCAGCCCTCCATCCTCCGCCCTCCATCCTCCACCCCCTCCTTTGCCCCCCCCCCCTGTCCGTCGGAAGCCGTGGTTGCAACATTCCCCCGTGTCCGCTATGTATGATGGATGTGTGGCGGAATGCTCGCTGCCGGCCCGCCGTCGAGCGCACTGAGACCGGAGCTGAACGGATCGGTATTCGAGTTCAGACCACTCCCAGAGGCGCACAGTGGCGCGTACTGGCGGAAACATGGACTAAATGTGGACTGTTGTAACCGTCAATGGGCATGTAAAGAATGACAAATGGATTTAATCACGTGATAGCCGTCGCTGTGTTTAGCGAGTTGTTGAATAACGCTGTTTTTTAGAGCTTCATTGCATCGTGTTATGGCCTTCCGGTGAAGCTGTGCGCTAACCTTTCAGTAAAATAGGGTCTGGCCGGACCATTGTTTTTTTGTGATCACACGCAATTTACCAGGCATTGCGACCCATACAACCAAACTACAGCCATATTGTTAGCATCGATCACGACCACTTATTTTTACCACTGCACCAATGACTCACACGCCATAAACCCATCACATCCATTTTGCACCGTGTCCGGCCTGTTTTCAGAATTCGTCTGTCCGTGCAGAATTCTCAGTAGATCGGTTCGAGTGTCTGACAGACCCCCTCGCCCCCCCCCCCCCCCCAGGGCTGACACGCTGCGACTGGGAGGGGGCGGTTGTCAGGGGGCGTAAACCCGCTGTTACGTAGACCGATCGGGCTCAGTGGCAGTTTGACGGCCAGGCGCCAGGTATATACTGTGTCGGACTCCGGTCATTTGGTGAGGTGTGTGACCCGTCGTTGACACTGTGAAACCTAGTTTGACCTCAAATGGCCTTGTTTGGTGGGCATCTTGTGTTGAACTGAGCCAACAGCTTGGCAAGTGGCATACAACGGCGAAGCATAGACCTCTGTATACCAGTGAAGTTATGCCAGAATCGTCAGGAACCCTGCCGCCTTAGCAAGTCTGTTATTGAGACAAGTGTGACGACGCGGTTGCGCTGCCACTCATCCATACCGTTGTGTATGCTGGACTTCGCTCAAAGCTGCGGTCAGCTGCCACGGTGCATTCGTACCGTCATGTACTTTGTACAGCTCGTGCTCAGCGCCCATAGCTGCGGTCTGTGGTTCGTTGCGGCGGCGCGGCGTTACCCAGCACTCGTTCCACGAAAGGCGCAGCGCTACGTCTCTGCCGTCTGCCATACCGCCGCTACGACTGCGTCGTTTGTGGCGGCCTGTCCAGCTCAGTCGTCACGCATTTGAGCTGGTCTGTGTGTCGCAATGTAGCTGCGTTGGAACGACGTGGGACGGCAGGCCGGCCGGCGAGCAGGGCTCCGTGGTGGATGAGCCTTTGACGGGTGTGGGGAGGGCTGCAACGCTGCACTGTTTGCTGCAGAACGGCCGCCTTTGTCTCTCCATGGAGATGGTCCGTTAAGTTTTCTCTCACTGGATATGTTCTCACCGAACCTTTCGGTGTCTTCCCAACGAGTTACCACAGGGGTGTTCCTATTGCTCAAACAAAGCACATTGTGATGAATTTTCTCCGCTGTTCTGACGAGGCGATGTGGTAAAAATTCTAGCGCGGTTGTTAGACATCTTGTAGGACAGGACATCGGATTGTATCGTCCCGCTGCACACCGACGCCCTGTTGGCGTCCTTTTCTGCTGGAACTGCTGTGTAAAATCAGCACGATTTTGGTTGGGTGTGTGCGCCCAGCTTCTGTATGGAGAAAGGCTCCATTATCAGGCCAAAATTTGATTTATTTCACCCAATTTATTTTCCCACATTACCCTCTTCCTTTTCCCCAATATTCCTCATTTACGGCCATTCACCAACTCTTTCTCTCACTCACCTCACCTTGTGTTCTACGCTTCTTTTCGTTCTCCTTACCTCATCCCAGCCGCTGTCCCACCGCTGCACCGTCTGCGATCTCCCCTGTCTGTCGTCGCCCGGTGGCGTACGGCGGCACTGTGGAACATCAATCCATCCGTTCTCTGTCGCCACCACCAGCCGCCCCACCGAGAGCCGTGAGAAGAACGGCTTGTCGGCGGCCGGGGCGGTGGGCGGTGGTGCGAGACGGACACGGTGGGCAGTGGGTAGGAGGCGGTAGGTGGTGACGCGAACGGATACAGGAACGGTGGGCGGTGGGTGGTAGCGGTTGGCTGGTGGGCGGTAGAAGGCACTGATTGTTTGTTGATGGGTAGGGACTGGTGAGATGCGTGGGTAGTGGTGTCTTCTCTCTTCGCCGTAGAGCACGGTGGCTACCTCGTGCTTCAATTCGTCTCGATGTGTCTCGACGTCTTCTCCTTTCACTGCCAGTTTCACGCTCAATGATCTGGTTATGCCGGAGAATGATCACTAGGAAGAAGATCCGTGGAATGTCGAACACATTCAATGAATATGAATATCTCTACCTGCCTGACAGCCTTGGCTGATCAAATTCAGCCCGCTCCATCCTTCCGCTCCAACAACCCCCACAATTATCTGATCAAGTTGATGATAATGTTGTGCATCCTACCCCGCCCACCCCAGCTCCCAGCCGACCGATCGGGACTGCCCTACTGTTGTCAGCGCATCTATCTCGCTCGTGGCCACACACAGAGTGGCCCTTTGACCGTCGCGCGCCGCCGACCGCCGCCTGTTATCGTCGTGACCGATGGGCCTGTTTACCCGTCTGTGGCATGCGCCGAGCGTCGCCGCCGGCCGACCGCGCCGCGCTCGCCGCAGTGCGCCGCAAATGACTCGTCACCCGTTACTGGCGCAGCGGCTGGTTACACGGGAAATATAGGCGATGGGATGGGAGCGGGAGGGTTGGATTGATGCCGGGAACATACCTGACGAGGGTGGTCTAAGCGCTGGTTATACGGTGAAATACGGGCGCGGTGGGAGGGTCTGTGAATGGTTCGGTACTCTCACATGGGAACGGAAGGCTCCCGGCTAATGGGGCGTCCGTCTGTAGGTGATTGCTCGGCCGGCGGCGTATTGATAGCGTCTGGCAAACGATCTGAGAATGGCACTGCATGCAACGCCGCGTGGTGTAAAACAGTTGTTCCTTAGCCAAGAAGTTGCAATTGGAACATTTCAGCTACCCTGCGATCACGTTTGTTACTTTTACATTGTTATTTCTCATTGCAAAATGCAAATTCACAAGTAATGGATGGATGCATGCATGCTATTTGCTTGTTCTACTCTGTAACAGCAAAAAAATGAATACCTTCAATTATGTTTTCAGTACTGTAAATTAGTATAACAGTGGCACCATTTATTTGGCATTGTGTTTTGCACATTCGAAACAGCACACTGCAACAAGATTGACTACGTGCTACGTAGTGATTCCGTCGTGGAGTGTTCTGGGGACATTTATCGCTGCGAGCTGCGCCACGGTGCCGTCTCTGTCGTTGGCTGGTGTTATCCGAACATAATCTGACCTCTGTCCCCCGCCCTCTGCTGCTGTGACATCACCAAAACACGGTGTCACTGAACTATCAGGACTGTGTGGCTATCACCGCCTCCGACGCAAATTTTCGCTCACTCAGCTGTGCTCAACATAGCCTCGAGACTGCTGCACTGGTTATTTACCTGCAAACGGCCTGCGTTTTTTGGGTACGAGACCTAGCAATGAGGTGTTGACAGCAGTTGCGGGTGGTTTGTCTTGCAGGCTAGGTCACCTAAACATTTGTCACAACTCACATTGCCCTTGTGACCTGCGTCTCGCCTGTTATATATGGCTCAGTGTGCTCATTTAGACCAAGTCTGGTTATAATGGCATAACCTTTGTTGGATAGGATGCTGTTCTAGAAAATCGTGTTATGGCACCTTGCCTCATCTCTGTCTCTACCTCCTTCCCCAGGCCGAGACCGTCTGGTGGACGTGGACCCAGTCGAGGACGCCGAGCCGACCACCACCCCCAGCCCGCTGCCGCCGCCGGCCGCCACCAGCCCCGGCTCACCCTACGAGAACGTGCTGCTGCCGAGCCGCGTGGGCTCCGAGGTGGCGCCGCCGCCCGGACGACAGGGCCCCGTGTGGCCCATCTATGACATACCGCCCAGCAACCGACGATCACGGGCGGCCGTAGTCTCAAAGTGAGTCGGTGGACGGGGTTTGAGGGTAGGTGGGGGTGGGCCGGCTTGTCTGTTTCCGTTTGTGGCTTGATGAATGGATATTGAGGTCACCGGATGGATCTACGTTTCACTGGATACGATCTGACATTGAGCACTTGCTATGCCGATGCTTGGTGATATTTGAGCATTAATGCCCAAGTTTTTTATCTGTTAGCGGTAGATCACGGCCTCGGGACCATTTTGAGCTAGTCTGCTATCCATCAGGCACCAAAAGTCTGGTAAATGGGTGGGACTGTTGGGAAAGTTTTTAGGTTCCATAACCTTGTCGTCATGAAGTACATTGTCTAGCGGTAAATGTTATCCCTGAGTTCCCGAGTAGCTCGCTGAGTTAGGTGGTGTTTTATTCGCTGGGCTGGCTCCAAAGACCAGTCAGCTGGTAGGGGCTGTCCACCCCAGGCCAGTCAGCTGGTATATCGTCCACCCCAGTCGGGTCAGCTGGTAGGGGCTGTCCACCCCCAGCCCGGTCGGCTGGTATATATTCCACCCCCAGTCGGGTCTGCTGCTAGAGGAAGTCCAGTGTCCACCCCAGTCGGGCCAGCTGGTATATCGTCCACCCCAGTTCGGTCAGCTGTTTAGGGCTGTCCACCCCAGTCCGGTCAGCTGGTAGGTCGCGCTGGCCGACTGAGCCGGTCCGTATCGATCGCAGACCGTCCGGGCCCTTGGCGCTCGGTGTTCCGACAGACTGACGGAGCCCGCGAGCCACGCCGCTCGGCGCCGCCCAGACCCATTTTCTCGTCAAGGAAATCGATTTTAATCTGCCCGCTTCCGGCGGACGGGCTCGCTTTGATGACGTCATTAGTTTTTACATCGGCTGGCGTTCTGGTGTCTTCGAGCTAGACGTGCTGGTGTGTTGATTCGATGAGTCAGGCACCGTGCGTCTCTGTTGTGGCGGCCTCTGCGGTTGATAAATAATGCTTGATGGGCCTAGTTTTTCAACACGTGTTTCTCATTCACATTGTGTCCTGTTAGGTAAGCGATCGTGGTTGGATTTTCCGCGTATCGTTGATGCATCAGCCTTTTTTGGTCTCATGATGTGGGTATGAATATTTAAATGACTGACATAGTGATCGTATTGAGCTGGATTTCTGGAAGTCTAGTCGTTGATGACGTGTCACGCTTGACGTTGACTTGTTAGATAGGTGGAATGTGATCGATACGTCAGTGCTGAGTCGAAGGTAGATGGTGGGACCATTGTTAAAATTAATGAGTTGGTGTCTGCGGTCTCGCAGTCATTCATTTTACATACACATTACACTTTCATCAGTCAGTGACTGGTCAACGTCTGCTTTGCTTCTCCGTCTATGAAGGGCTCCGTCTCCGTCTATTCACTGTCCCTTTACTCCGGTATCCTCGTCTCTTTAAACTCAGTCTTTCACCGCACAGCAGAGGGCCCGGTCCCCACCTGTGGGTACGCAGCCTTGGCCCACTATCCAGGCTGCGTGCCGCGGCATCTCACTCCGCTGTATTGTCATGTAGATACAACCGCATGACAATGCTGAACGCATTCACCGGCAATTTAACCCTCGCCCGCACATGCCATTTTCCCATCCTAGAACGCACATGGGGGGGGGGGTTGCCACCCCCCCCCCCGCCATTTCGTTCCTGTTGGAGATAGAGCTTAGCGGTAAAGACCAAAAAGATTCTTTGGGAAGAGACGAATCCAATGATACCCAGTTTTACCTTCTCAGGTCAGTCATTGACCTTCCAGGTCAGGTCAAACTAAAAAATGTTGCTGTTTTGGGTCACCGTTGGCTATCAAGTGCGCTGCTTATCAAATACCGATGACGATGCTGTTTTCTTGTGCCAAGCCAGCTAGAACCTCTTTGTCACACTATCCGACCAGAATTTTGCTGCTGAGGTCATTTCAGGTCAAGTTAGGTCAAGGTCAATTATATGTGTTTGTATGTCTGTGTGTGTCTGTGTGTATACTGATGTGTGCACCGATTGTTTTTGGGTCCATATCACATGAAATCATGATCTGAGAAGCTTTTACCAAAAATGCAGTCAAAAAACTTCACAAAAAGTAAATTCAGCTTGCCTAAAACGCAATTATCTTAGATGACCTAGGTTGACCTTGACCCTGACCTTGACCCCTGTACATCGTCGAACAACATGTTCCATGATAGGTGGGAGGTAAGACTGGCAAAAAAGGCCGAAATCAGGGTGTCAAACGCTCACAAGGCCCATGGCAAACGCAAGATGTTGAGAATTGGCCATTTGGGTCATGACATGACCTGAAAAACAAGGTCATATCTCCGAAACCAAAAATCACAGAAACTTGAAATTTTCAGTGGACATCAAGAAAAGATAGACGAGCAGCTATACGAAAAATCAGCCTTCTAGCTCTAAAAATGTTGAGTGCAGAGCAGAAAGACTGCCTGGGGGGGTGGCAACCCCCCCCCCCCATATGCGGGCGAGGGTTAAACTCGTCCGGCCGGAAATATCCTACAGGCCACGCGTTTGGTCCGAGTCGAGGGTACCAGACGCATTTTTCCTGGACTTGCAGCATTCTCCTGGCAATTCTAGAGGGTGTTTGGTCAGTCTTCTACCAGCCGTTCAACTAGCCCAGGACAGTACACCGTTCATACCTAGTTGAGAGACGAGTGCGCTCCAGGCATCACTGCGCCTCTGTCGGTATTCAAAGACATTTCCACGGTGTATCGCACCACCTGCTTCACTCACCTGGCTGAGGAAGCATTGTATCCGGTTGGACCGGGCGGAACCCGTGAGAAACCCAGCGAGCGCCGGACAACAGTCCCGCCCCACACGGGCAGAAAGGAAGCCATATGGCCGTGGTCCCGGGGCTATTTCATTGAGCTGGATCGGAGAAAATACAGCTCGCTGTAGTCTGGGTGAATTGCATTAACTTCGTAGGCATGGGCATTGTGACACACAAAGCGAACGTTTTACGTTTGAACAAGAACATGTGTGCGGCTGGTATCAACGTTGGCATCTTACATTTGCTGAGAGCATTGCGAACTCGTCGTTTTTCAGCTCGGCCCGTTACGTTCCACTGATCTCGCTGTAAACAGCTGGGCTGGTGCGGAAGTCGTGGGTTAATTTCTGCAGTGCAGCCTGTGCAGCGGGGCTGTTTCATCATGTTGAGTGTGTGGTGGTGTGCATCCCCAGTCTGTACCTGGGGTTTGCATCTCTACGACCGTGTGTGCCCTCGGGACACGGTCCGGCGGCGGCTCCCGGCCGGACCGTGCGGGGCCGCGTCAGTCTCTACTGGGTCCGCGCCACGCTCGCTCGCTGTGAACAATACACCTGCACCGGTTCAGAGGCGTCTTCACATGGCGCAGCCGGCAGGGTCGTGAACGTGCGATTACCAGTGCAAGTGTGACAGGGCGACGTGCATAATTATTGTGCATTTTCGACCCAGCAATGGGAGACTCTGACGCCGACAGCGTAGCGGATGCGTCTCGGGAGCCGGATGCGTCTCGGGAGCCGGCCGCTTCCGTCGCGGTTCGGGCTGCCGCGCCGCGGCAGCGGGCCGGCCGCGGTCGTGCGTCCCGCAGCGCGCCGACCCCGTGGGCGGGCCGAGTACGAGCACCGGACAGCCTGGACCTCTCCACGGACCGGGGTGAGTCTTTCCTGGTGTGGAGAGAAAGCTGGGAGGACTACGTGCTCCTGACCGGCTTGATAGACGCTGAACATGACATTCAGCTGGCTGCCCTGAAAAATGTCATGACCCCGGAGAGTCGCCGCGTCCTGAGGAACCTGGAACTGACCGAGGTCCAGCGTGCCAATCCCGAGGTTGTACTGGACGCGCTGGAGCGTTTCGCAGTGGGCCAAGTAAACGAGGTTATCGAAAGGAAGAGGTTTAACGAAAGGTTTCAGGCTGAAGGGGAGGTCTTTGATGATTTTCTAACCTCCCTGCGTGAATTGTCTCGTGCTTGCAAATTTTGTGACGCGTGTAATGATTCGCTAATCAGGGATAGGATTATGATGGGTCTGAGATCAGCGGAGACCGTCAAACGTCTCTGCGCCGTCCAAAACCTCTCGCTGTCGCATGCCATCGCTGTTTGCAGGGCTGACGAGGCGGCCGCCAGAGACGCCTTGGAGCTGCGGGCAGGCGGACTCGCCCGGGCCGCCGCCCACCGAGTGGACGCCGCCGAGCGCCACCGAGCGCCGCCGAGCGCTGGACCGAGGCGGCGCGACGGTGGCTGGTGCGCTGCGTGCGGCCGGCGACGTCACCGGATGGGAGACGCGTGTCCGGCCCGGGGTCAGCGCTGTCGCAGCTGCCGTCAGCTGGACCACTTCGCGGCAGTTTGCCCCGACGCATCCGGCGACTACGATGACCGCCGACCGACCACGTCGTACGAGCGCCGCCGGCTGGCCCCGTCTCGGCCGCGGAGCTCGCCACCTGGGCGGAGCTACAGGCCCGACCCGTACCGCTCGTCGTCGAGATCGCCGTCCCCGTCGCTGGACACGCGGCGATCGCAACGGCGCCAGCCGTGGCGCGGCACCCGGGTCCGCTTCCAGTCGTCGGAGGGCAGCAGTGACCGGAGCCCGGACGGTGCGGCGCGGCGACCGGCCGCGTCGGCCATCATCGCGGTCGCTTCGGTGCAGAGCGCCCCCCGCGTGCGCCTGGATGTCACGGCGCAGCGCCGCGCCTCGGTACTCGCGCTGCCTGACACCGGGGCTGACATCTGCGTCGGAGGACTCGACTTCCTGAAGGAGATGGACGAGTACCCGGAGAACCTGCTCCCCCCGGAGCAGCATCCTCGGACAGCCAACGGCGAGACGGTCAAGTCGCTGGGAGTCCTGCCGGTCTCGCTGAATCTCGGCCGCGTCTCGGTGCAGGAGTCGGTGCACATCCTGGAGGGCGTCAGCGGCCTGCTGCTCTCCTGGAAGGCCGTGAAGGGACTTCACATCATTCCAGCCGGTTATCCGCAGCAGATAACCGCCGATCTACCGGAACCCGCCTCTGGCTCTCGCACCAGGGACGCACCAGACCGCCCTCGGCCGGGGCCAGCGCGGCATCGGCACCGGTCTCGCGCCGCGCTGCCCGACGGTGGCACGTCATCGGACTGCGTGGCGGCGGTGTCGCGCGACGGCGCTGCTGGAGAGGCGACCGCGGCGACACCTGTCGAGCGGCCTGGCAGCAGCCTTCCGACCGGTGCACCTGCATCTGAAGACGGGTCAGCAGAGCCGCCTGTGGACCAGGGAGGCTCCTTCCCGGACATCACGTCCGAGTTCCCCACCGTGTTCGACGGCCACATCAGAGTCATGCCGGGGGAGCAGTTCAAGATTCACCTCAGGGAGGAAGCCGTGCCGTTCCGCGTGTCGAGCCCACGACGAGTGCCCCTCTCACTCCGCACGCCGCTGAAGGACGAGTTGCAAAAGCTGGTGTCCGAGGGCATCATCGTGCCCGTCACGGAGCCGACTGAGTGGTGTGCACCGATCGTCGTTGAACCGAAGAAGGAGGGAGGAATCAGGCTGTGCGTGGACCTGTCTCGCCTGAACAAGTTCGTCCGCACCGAGCAGTACCAGGCACCCACCCCGCTGGAGGAAGTTGCCTCTATAGCGAGCTCGGAGGCGAAGTGGTTCACCGTCTTCGACGCGGCAAAGGGCTACCACCAGTGCCCTCTTCATCAGGACAGCGTGCTGAAGACGACGTTCATCACGCCGTTCGGCCGGTACGCGTTTTTACGCGCGCCGTACGGGGTCAGCTCGATATCTGACCACTACAACAGGCGCATGGACGAGGCGTTCTCCGGCCTCACCGGCTACAAGAAGATCGTGGATGACGTCGTGGTCTACAGTCGGACCAGGGAGGACCACATCCGTGACGTCCGTCGCTTCATGGAGCGCTGCGAGGAGAGAGGCATCTCCCTGAACCGGCGGAAGCTGCAGCTGGCCCAACAGAAGGTGAAATTCGCCGGCTTCATCATATCGGCGGACGGCTACGAGCCCGACCCTCAGCTGACGTCGGTCATCTCGTCGTTCCCGACACCGAAGAACATCTCTGAGCTCCGAAGTTTCTTCGGCCTCGCCAACCAGGTCGCCCCATTCGTCGACGAGCTCTCGGAGCTCCTCCTGCCTCTCAGGCCGCTGCTCAGCACCCGAAACGAGTTCGTCTGGGACGAGCAGCAAGAACAGGCGTTCATATCAGCCAAGAAAGCGCTGACATCAGTTCCGAACCTGGCCTACTTCGACCCCAGACGACCAACCTCGCTCTCGACCGACGCCAGCCGCCTCAAGGGATTCGGCTTCCTCCTACGGCAGCAGCAGGAGGACGGCAGCTGGCGGGTTATCCAGGCGGGATCGCGATTCCTGTCTTCAGCGGAGTCCCGATACGCCACCATCGAGTTGGAAGCCACTGCCGTGGTATGGGCCATGAAGAAATGTCACATCTTTCTCTCCGGACTGACGAGCTTCACGATATTCGTCGACCACAAGCCGCTCGTCCCCATCATCAACGGCAAGACTCTCGACGAGATCGAGAACCCGAGACTACAGAGACTGAAGTTGAAGATGGCATACTACGGACCATTCGTAGCCAGCTGGGTGCCAGGATCCCAGCACAAGGCGGCAGACGCTCTCTCCAGGAGCCCCACCCAACCAGCAGCTGCTGATGACGAATGTGGGGAAGACGACGACGCACCTGCCCTCCAGAGCGTCTTGGTAGCTGAGCTTCGAGCGTGCGACACCGACATCATGCTGGACCGGGTGGAGTGTGCGACGTCAGAGGACCCCGAGCTCCAGATGCTCAGAGACATCATCTCCACCGGCTTTCCGGCATCCAGAGCGGAGCTTGCGGAACCCCTCCGGAAGTACTGGCCGGTGCACGACCGACTGTCGGTGGAGGGCGGCATCATCTTATGCGGCATGCGCATCCTGGTGCCGCTATCCCTCCGTAGATCGACCTTAGCGTCTCTCCATGCGAGTCACCTCGGGAAGGAGAAGACCAAGGAGCGAGCTCGGCGGGTGGTCTACTGGCCGGGAATGGACGCCGCCATCGACGACGTCACCAGAGGATGCAGTAGGTGTCAGCAAGAGCTGCCATCCCAGCCGAGGGAGACCATGCTGCATCATGAGCCTGCCGCCAGGCCGTTCCAGGTCCTGGACATGGACTTCGCAGACCACGCAGGAGGCAAGTACCTCGTCGTCGTTGACGGCTACTCTGGGTGGAAGTTCATCGAATCTACGGGCACCCGGTCTGACACCAAAAACGTAATCAAAGTAATGCTTAAGATTTTCAGTGAGGTCGGTGTGCCAGAACTTGTCAGAACCGACGGGGCCCTCTGCTTCACGTCTCTTCAGTTCAGCACGTTCTTGAGCAACTGGGGCGTTCTGCATCGCACATCATCCCCACACTACCCCCGATCTAACGGCCTGGCCGAGTCTGCCGTTAAATCTGCAAAAAAGCTTCTCAGGCGATGCTGGGACGACGGCAGAGGACGGCTCAACGAAGAGGAGTGGACGCGGGGCCTGCTTCAGCAGCGGAACACGCCGGGCGTCAGCGGGAAGTCGCCCGCCGAGATCGTCTACGGCCGGCCACTGAGGGACGACCTGCCCACGCACCCGTCGCACTTCAAACCATCGGCGCGCTCGCAGCGGGCGAGTGGAGGCGGAGGCCAGCAGCGGAGGGGGACGCCACCGCACCAGACTGTGGACTGCGACGATCGCCGCGAGTCACGCCGCTGCGCCGCCAAACGGTGGTACGACCAGCATGCCCACGACCTGCCCGAGTTCCCCGTCGGGACTCGCGTCCGTGTGCAGGACGTCAGGACAAAACGATGGGACAGGTGCGGCGTGGTGGCGTCGGTCGGCCCCCACCGACGCTACAGTGTACGCTTCGACGATGGAGGGGAGGTGGATCGGAACAGATGCCACCTGCGCAGGCGGCACGCTCTGTGCCCGGTGCCCGGAGTGGAGCCTCCCGGGAGAGCCGGCCCGCGTGTCGTCACACAACCGGACACTGGTCGGATGAGTCGTGACCATGCATCTGCGAGCGAATCGCGCGCCTCCACACGGCCGGATCGCGCGCCGCGCACTGAGCCGCCGACTGTCCGCCGATCCACCCGTGTGCGGAAGCCGGTGCGTCGGCTCATAGAGGAGATGTGATTGTGTACTACGTTTCTTGTTATTTTCGCTATTGTGTTATGATTCCGTTCTTTTCGTTATACCTCGAGCGCGATGGGGGCTTAAGGGGGGAGATGTGGTGGTGTGCATCCCCAGTCTGTACCTGGGGTTTGCATCTCTACGACCGTGTGTGCCCTCGGGACACGGTCCGGCGGCGGCTCCCGGCCGGACCGTGCGGGGCCGCGTCAGTCTCTACTGGGTCCGCGCCACGCTCGCTCGCTGTGAACAATACACCTGCACCGGTTCAGAGGCGTCTTCACAGAGTGGGACACGAGTTCACGAGAAACTGCTCATGTGGAGAGAAGGGCCGTCACATGCAGAATGTCGGCAACGTGACTGGGTTCCGGCGCCGCTGTCGACGCTGGACTGGTGGAGTGACCTGACTAACGGGCTCAGCGCTTCGTCGAACGGCGTACTTGCATTCAATTTGTAGATAATAATCCTCAAGTATCTTTTTTAGGCTTCTTGGAAATATGTGGTTTTGGGGTTTCTTGTGGAATTTTGGTGTTTTTAAGCTGTATACCTTCAAAATTATATCACTTTGTCTTTGATTTCATTTACGCTACTGATAGTTTTTGAATTACACTGTAATCGATATTGCGCGTTGGATAGAGGTAGTCAATCAGGACTCTATTGTCCGGGATTTTCTACTCCATAGCAGGCGCATCTGATCCTGTCTTTGTGACACTGAAAATGGATTGTATTCTGGGGCACTCTGCCAGCTTTCTGCCATTCCGCGGATTCATTTTCACTTCTGTGTATCCACCCTAATTTGAGGTCAACTATGAGGCATCCAAGCTGAACAGCGAAACGCTAAAAAAATCCATCACCAAGCCAGCATGCTGCTACTTTCTCACTTTGGCTCAGCTTTACCGATTCGCACGCCTTTGGAGAGAAAATCTCCAGGCCTAATGAGATTGTGTGGTTTTCTTGTGGTTGCTCGCAGGGTATCTGTGGTTTCCTGTGGTTACCCAGCGGCTGCCAATGCCACTAATATGCGCGTGCGTGTCCGCCTCAGGTGCTCCGAGCGTGTACCCTATGTTTAACATTCCGTGTATCGAGTGTGTTTCGTTCCGTGACAACTGACAACACCATGGCATGTGAGCGACTTCCCGTATTAGCTGCTGATTGATGGCCCATACATAACACTTGTCTGGACTGAACTGACACCCATTTTTTACCCACAGGTCATCCGACGAACTAAACGGTATCGAGTTCGAGAGCCCCATAAAGAGGAACTCGCGCGGTCCCATGTTCCGTTCCCACTCCTACGACGTGGACAAGCTCACGGATACCGAGTCGGATCCGGATCCGGGCGTGGATCCGGGCCTGGATCCGATCATCGACACGGGTCTAGAACCTCCCTCGCCGCCGGTGAAGACCCGACACCAGTCTTCGAATAGCTCTTCGGCGGACGGAAGCAGGCATCAGTCCGCGGGGTCTTCGGTAGATGGCAGCAGGCACCAGTCGACTGGGTCGTCAATAGATGGCAGCATCGGCAGGTCGTCGGGCGTGCGGGTCAGCGCCCGGGTCAGGTCACTGGAGGCCGACGGAAGTTATTCCACAGTCTCCAAGGTAACTCGAATAGTGACGTGTATTCTGCATGAACTCTTTTATATATAACTTTCAACATTTGTATCGTGGTTCATGGCGAGTTTAGTCATGTTCTTTTCCTGTATATTACTTCGGAAGTGTGTCCGCGTATCTAACTAATTGTTTTCACTGGACGTTTAACTAGAAACTTGCGAGAACGCAGAGCACATCGGCACTGATGCTTAACTTGGGTTTCCATTTCGCATTGGCCGATACCCCTGGTCCCTCGCTCATACACTGCGACTAAACCATCATCTAACCCACCCCGCCCCTCTCCGTTCGCCAGCCGGTGCCGCCACCGAAGCCCCCTCGGCGCAGTATCGCCGCCTCGCCACCCACCTCGGACGCCATCTATGAGCTGCTCGCCGAGGCGCAGTCTGGCGGCGAGCGGGCGCCGCCGGGCGGCCGACGCGCCTACGAGAACATCAGCGGCTTCTGGAGGCAGCAGGAGCTGCGGCAGGCTCGGGACGACATCGGAGTCACCTGTGGTGGCCGGGCACGGGTCAAAGATCGGCGCAGGAATCGGACCAATGTGTATGAAAACCACCGGCCGGGGGAGACCCTAACGTGGGCGGCGCCCGGACGCAGGCCCACGGAGTCGGCAGCGCCGGCTGATCGGGCAGAGCAAGACAGAGGGGAGAGGATGGAGAGAGCACAGGAGCCGATTGGAGGGCGGCGCTCGCCGAGGCCGATCAGCGTTAGTGGAGCGGGTGCCAAGCCAGTGCCGCCACCGCGGGTCTCTTCACGGCTGCGGGTAAGGACAAGGGTTTGTTCTGTGGGGTGTGAGTTAGTGGACGGGCGCTGGCTTGGGATGCTTGGTGGTGGAAGGATGAGTGTTGGTGTGAGTGAGTGGGAACCATGGAGGTATGAGCATAGCAGGGCTTTGTCTGCAGCATAATTTATCATTACGATAATTCGAAGCGTAACCTCAAAAAGTTCACTCAAACATTGTAATGGCTAGCTTACGGTTGTTTGGTGCTTCATCAAATTGCGCTTGTTAATATGTGAATATCAGCAGTATCTACCCAGTCAGTCAGTACCTCCTTGCCCGCTGATCCACCCCGCCCATGTCGAGCTTCTGCCGTGTATGGTCCACCGCGGGTTGCCTCTGGTCCCCGCTCCCCGCTGCTGTACTGTAGCGGCGCGCGGCGTCTCTGTCCGTGCGGCAGGTCCGGCCGCTCAGCCCCAGTCAGCAGCAGCAGCCGCCAACTCCCGATCACCCGCCGCCCTCCGCCTCTCACGCCGCGCAGAGCATCTCAGACAAGATCCGGCCGCCGAGCCAGGTGCGACCGCACCGCCGCCTGGTGGCCGGGGAAGGAACTAACCGCCCGAACTGCCCGTTGTAGTGACGTTTTGGCACAGAGAGGGCGGGAGTGTTTGACGGAGGGATGGGATTGATGGGGCTGTGCAGCTTATGGGATTAGGTGTCCTGCAGTTATTTAATGGGGCAGGTCCGAAGCTTTGCTTGCATACGCTGACGGGATGTTTCGAGCTACTGAGAAATAAAGCTTAGTCGCTGCTTCATTACGAGGGTTATGAAGTCGCTTTTTGTATGTCCATCCCCCAAGCATTACGTGCATCTAACTAACCTGTTAATGTGTTTCCTCAGTCTTGCTGTCTAGGTTGACCTGTGGTGAGCTCTCACGCATTATTTCGGTTGCATTTCACCTGCTTCGTAAGGGAACAGCAACATTGTCTTGGTTATTCATCCAGTTATCCATTGCCATATGATATATAAATTAAAGAAAAATAACAACGACCAGCGCGCCATCCCATCGCCTTCCTAACACCCCTCCTCCGTCGCCCCACAGCAGGACTCGGTGCCGCCCACCACCGGTCAGCAGCGCACCTCCCGGGACATGGAGACGGAGACGGAGGAGGAGCTGCTGCAGCTGCAGGCGGGTGGCAGCGGCTCCAGTGACCGCTCCTCGCCGTCGGCGCCCGGCTCGGACCTCTCGGCGTCCACCGATAACATCGAGGAGGTGCAGCAGGACGCGCCGTTTGCAGGTGGGTTCATTGGTGGGGAGGGGATTGGGATCGAGAGGAAATCGGAGCCGGGTGGGAGCTGTGAAGAGGAGATAAAAATATGACAGGTTGAAAGAGTTTCAACTGTTGAGAGCACCCGTATGCACAATGCGAGCAACTGCGATTGGCCAAAAAGCGCCTAGTGATAAGCGTGGTCCCAGCTTTTTCGCTAGCTAGCTAATCCTTTTAAATTATCAGCCAATCAAACATCTTGCGTATGGGCGCAAAATGACCACCGCAGTCGACGCGCCCTTAAACCCTGATAAACAACAACAATCAAACATCTTGCGCAGTGGATTTGTTATGCGTTTTGCTCACACCGCGCTCACACACAGGCGTTGGCGTAAGGTGTCAGCGCCGCCGATCGCGGGTGTCTATGAGCCTGACAGATGTCAGTGCGGCTGACAGACCAGCGTGTGGGGGCGGGTCGAGCTGTGACAACACATGACATGAGCTGACAGATCTGTGTGTGTGCGGGCGGGGCGGGCTATAACAGGTCAGACATGAGCTGACAGACCAGCGTGTGGGGGCAGGGCGAGCTGTGACAGGTCAGACATGAGCTGACAGGTGTGTGTGTGTCGGGTCAGCCCCCTCCCAGTACCGTCGGTCGGCCGTTATGATGCGCTGGGCGCGTCACTTGTGACATGCTATAGAACACTATGCCGATATACGGTATGCGTAGGTTTACAGACAGATCCGCGTGGGTAGACCGGGTTCTCCCCAGTATTACCTCAGACGCCTTTCTAGTCAAGAACTGCGATGTCTCGAAGTGGTGATTCTGCACTGATAAGATCGATAAGAGGTGCACATTGCACGGTAACCAGGAAATGCCTGACTATCGACAGCTTAACGCCGATAACATCGAGGAAGACTGTTGCGACGAACCCACGCGCCCCTCTTCATGCCGCCTCTGATGTTCAACAATCGCGCCTTGTGAGGGGTGCTTGATTTAAGCATCGCGGGCGCCGTTGCTATCAAATGTTTTGATAAAACGATGTGCCGACGGCGAAAGAGCAGACTTGTAAACGACTCAAAATTTTTTTGAGTCGATTCTTTGTTTGAGTCTGGAAATTTGAATCGATTCATCAAACGACTCATGATGTTAAATTTAATTGATTCGAATCAACTCATGACTCATCAAGTTCCTCGATAAAATGATTCGAATCAACTCATGACTCGAGCAACTAGCCAACGGAATGATTCGAATCAACTCATGACTCACATTTTGATGAATCGATTCAAATCAACTCATGACTCACACGACATTTTTATTGAACTTATTTCATTCAACCCATGACTCACTATAGGCATTTGTTGATTATTTGACTCAAAGCTATGATAAAATGAATATGCCGCATACCACAATTGTATTAAGCAGCATAGTAGCCTTGACCAAAGATTCAAGCAGCTACCTAGTAGGACTAGGTACATAGGTACCTACCTTACACCTACCTATCTTCAACACTCAACAGTCAACAGTGCAATATCAGATAAATTTGTAAGTAACTCTGAGAGACAATTATGTGAGGACTAAGGAGTAGCATAGTAACCTATCTCTTATTATTACCTAGAAAGTCTTTTTGAAAATTCAAAAGCACAAGTTCCGAGAGGCATTCATGTTTTTTTTAATCAAACTTTTTCTACATGATGATGAAACAAATGTTACTACTTCTTACTTATCACATAAAATTATTCAAACAGTACAACCTCAAAAATAGGATTAATCCCATCTGTGACACATTCAGCATCAGCAGGGACTCCATGGGCCACGAGGAGCAAACGAGGAGGCCATGACCTTGCATGGGTGGCTCAGGCCTCAGAATCAGATATGATCTTGAGTTGAGACTCATTGAAAGTAGTTAAGGTATCGGTAAAGCTGGCGTCACCGTCGCCTTCCCGCCAAGGTAGGCCATAATGACCAAGGTCACGTATGTCAAACTAGTGGCAGCTTCAGATCGCAGTTACCGTGCGATCGTACTAACTTACTGCAAATTTGTGCTAACCTGCTGCAGTGGAAAACAAGTAAGTATTATGTCCGTGAAGTTAGCGTCAGCAACAACAACGAATACAGCGTCGGATTCAGAATCGCTCAAAAAACTCATATTCGGTAAATTGGGGGACGGGGAGCAAGAATATGACCTTTATTTGGCCCTAGCTTTTACCCCTTACCCCTTAATCGGCCCTTAAAGGAAGGGGCGCGTCAAAAGTGCCTCAAGGGTTCGTCTGATCGCCAAAATAAGGGTCGCAATCGATTCCCCGGGTTAATATCTAGCCGCACCCTTGGGTTCCAGATGTGTGCAACTTACCCCTTACCCCTTAATCGGCCCTTAAAGGAAGGAGCGCGTCAAAAGTGCCTTAAGGGTTCGTCTGATCGCCAAAATAAGGGTCGCAATCGATTCTTCGGGTCAATATCTAGCCGCAGCCTCGGGTTCCAGATGTGTGCAACTTACCCCTTACCCCTTAATCGGCCCTTAAAGGAAGGGGCGCGTCAAAAGGGCCTCAAGGGTTCGTCTGATCGCATAAATAAGGGTCGCAATCGATTCCTTGGGTCAATATCTAGCCGCAGCCTCGGGTTCCAGATGTGAGCAACTTACCCCTTACCCCTTAATGGGCCCTTAAAGGAAGGGGCGCGTCAAAAGTGCCTCAAGGGTTCGTCTGATCGCCAAAATAAGGGTCGCAATCGATTCTTCGGGTCAATACCTAGCCGCAGTCTCGGGTTCCAGATGTGTGCAACTTACCCCTTACCCCTTAACCCGCGCCCTGCTGGGGGTCCTGGATTTCCACGCCCTGCTGGGGGGGGGTGTTTGAACACCCCCCCTTGTAAATCGGCTCCTGGGCCACGTAGCGATACGCGGAAGGCGGCGTTCGAAAGAGCGTAAAAAATAATGACGAAATCACTTCGGTCAATTTTTTGGTCAGGTCAAAGGTCAGGTCACCAGAGGTCATTGAAGGCAAAATTTCGCCGATTTCCAGGTCGAATGTCGAAAATTTCCAAGAAGCCAACGCATAACTCGGAAACCAATAGAGCTACAGCGCCGCGGAAAAGCGCATTCGATAGCCCTATTAACGCCCTTTCTGAGTAATTCTCTCAGATTTGACCTAAGGTCAACGGTTTTGCCTGCAGGGGGCAAAAACTGCAAAAATAGCCGATATTTTCGAAAACAGTTTTTCTGCAATAACTTTTGACCCAAGCCTTGTACGAGCTTACTTTTACCGGCATCGTGTTCTTCTCGTCAAGACGCATCGAATGAACTATAACTTAACCTTGAAAGGTCAACTTGAAAATTTGACCTCAGGTCAAGGTCATGACCTGACCGGAAAGGGTCATGTTGCATATCAGTCGATCCGTATCGTCGAGCTGAACACATCTAAGGCGTTTTCATCGCTCTAGCATGCCTCTATCAAAAGTTATTTGCGAAAAACTGTTAGATACCATTCGTGACCTAAGATGACCTCAGGGCATAAACAAGGGTCACGGACACCATTTTCAAGTTCAGTGTGTCTAAACCACTTGTAATTCGGTGTTTGGGAGTGTGTATAATGTCTTTCATCCAAAAGAGGCGCATTTCAATTTTCTCCCATTGACTTATAATGGGGAGGTCGCAAAATTGACCTGACCTTAGGTCATCGATATCAAAATTCTGAGATATACATTTTGTACATGCTATTGCTCTTAGCAATCGCTGAAAGTTTCAAAGCGATCGGTCACTCGGTGTAGCTATGACAGACATTGAAAGTTTTTATGAGGTGAGGTCACTTCAAGTGACCTGGTGACCTGACCTTGAATGACCTTGGTCTGAAATTTTTACAACATGTGTAGAATTGATGTATGATAAGGTGTACCAAAAACGGCGGCGCTCCGCGCCGCCGTTTTTGAGATATTCGCGAAAAACCACAAGGGGGGGTGTTCAAACACCCCCCCCCCCCCAGCAGGGCGCGGGTTAATCGGCCCTTAAAGGAAGGGGCGCGTCAAAAGTGCCTCAAGGGTTCCTCTGATCGCAAAAATAAGGGTCGCAATCGATTCCTCGGGTCAATATCTAGCCGCAGCCACGGGTTCCAGATGTGTGCAACTTACCCCTAACCCCTTGAGGCACTTTTGACGCGCCCCTTCCTTTAAGGGCCGATTAAGGGGTAAGGGGTAAGTTGCACACATCTGGAACCCGAGGCTGCGGCTAGATATTGACCCGAAGAATCGATTGCGACCCTTATTTTGGCGATCAGACGAACCCTTGAGGCACTTTTGACGCGCCCCTTCCTTTAAGGGCCGATTAAGGGGTAAGGGATAAAAGCTAGGGCCAAATAAAGGTCATATTCTTGCTCCCCGTCCCCCAATTGACCGAATATGAGTTTTTGAGCGATTCTGAATCCGACGCTGTATTCGTTGTTGTTGCTGACGCTAACTTCACGGACATAATACTTACTTGTTTTCCACTGCAGCAGGTTAGCACAAATTTGCAGTAAGTTAGTACGATCGCACGGTAACTGCGATCTGAAGCTGTCACTAGTTTGACATACGTGACCTTGGTCATTACGGCCTACCTTGGCGGGAAGGCGACGGTGACGCCAGCTTTACCGACCTAGGTGAGTTTATTTATATTATAGCATAGCCTATAGGTAGTTTATAGGCTAAAGGTAGTTTGGGCGTATTTGACTCTATAGACGCCCAAATTCTTATGCTGTTGATTGATTATTGGGACCAAATTGGGACTGGGAGAAGGGGAGGCAGCCGCAGGTGTCAATTCTGACTTCTGACATGTAAAATGTAGGTACCTAGGTAGTGTAGCAGGCACTTGGCTTGGTAAGACTAAGTACCTACCAACTGCCAAATGCTTTTGGCTCATTAGGCGCCTGTGCCTGAGCCTCTGAGGCTCTTGTAAGTCTGAAATATGGAGTTAAGTGATGGTGTGACCGCCTGTGCGTTTTGCAGCAGTTCGCTTGTTGCCTCAAAGTGGGCTCGTAGCAGGTGTCTCACTCGCCGGGCCCCTCTTAGAGGCGATATCTCGGTACTCATGTATTATGCCGGGTTGACACAACACACGGTTCCTAAAACGAAAAATCACACAGTCAAGTCCCATATAGCACTTGAGGACTTACTATTCGCCTCCTCGCCTGGCGCCGTGCCAAAACGGTTTAGATCATTCAAACTAGGTAAACGAAAGCGACAAAACACAATAAAAGTACCGAGAAACAGAATAACAAATTAAATTGAACTAAACCAGCCTAAATAACCTAAAAATAAACATCTTACCGAATTATATCGCTTTTACCACTGCAGACACAGGCCGGCCGCCTTCTACACAGGCTCGGCGGGGCAAAAACTAAACGTCTCAAAACATACATGAGGAGAGCCCACGCTGGAGGTTGCGGCCGGTAAATAAAAGGAATAAAGGACAGAAATACATCTTCGCGCTTACACCCTCCTCCTTGAACCGATCAAGGTTCAACCAAACTCTAGGCTCTCTCCGACCTGATGAAGGCTGGCAAGCCGCCACCAGCTGAACTACAACCAATACAAGGTAAGCTATCCAACCTCCACCTGATTCAAACAGAAACCCGCTACTCCTCTTGCACGAGCACCAGCTTGTTGATTGGTCGCTTGAGAACTGAGCGTGCCGTCTTGACAACAACAGTCCTCACATGGCCGCTAGCATCTGGGAACACCTCAGCCACACGTCCTAAAGGCCATTGAAGTCGCGGAAGAGATAAGTCAACAACCAAGACGAGATCCCCTACTGAGAGGTTTCTTTCAGTTTTCATCCACTTCTGTCTGTGCTGCAACAGCGGCAGATACTCCGACACCCATCTTCTCCAAAAGATGTCTGCGAGGTATTGAACCTGGCGCCATCGTCGCTTGGAGAAGCTGTCTGACCTCACAAAGATGCCGGGTGGAACAGCGCCGCCCCGGAGCAACAACAGGTGATTTGGCGTAATCGGTTCCAGGTCTGCAGGGTCACTGGAAACGGGGGTGAGCGGACGGCTGTTGATGACGTTTTCGACTTCACACATGAGTGTGTGAACTGCTTCATCGTCCATTGTCTGCTCCTGAAGCAAGGCTTCCAGAACCTTCCTGATGGTTCGAACTTGACGTTCCCAGACGCCTCCGTGGCTCGATGCTCCTGGCGCATTGAAGATCCAAGTGATGCCCTTCTGAAGTAAGAAGTTGTGCACCTCTTCACTGTTCAGGTTGGACACAGCTTCGCGCAGTTCATGTTCCGCCCCTACAAAGTTTGTTCCATTGTCGGAACGGATGTATTGAACTTGACCCCGCCTGGCTTGAAAGCGCCGTAGTGCATTGATGAACGAGCTTGTATCAAGACTGTTTGCCACTTCTATGTGAACCCCACGAGTGGTCAAGCAGGTAAAAAGTACACCGTATCTCTTGCTCTGCCTTCTACCACTCTTCACAAAGAACGGGCCAAAGTAATCACATCCAACCTTGGTGAAAGGAGGCTCATCCGGTGTGACTCTTTCAGGCGGCAAGTCTGACATCACTTGACTCACGACCGGTGCCTGTCTTCTTCTGCAGCTGGTACATCTTGACAACACCGCTCGGACTGCTGAGTTGGCCTTGATGATCCAGTACCTGCTGCGGAGGGCAGCCAGCACGTGTTCACGGCCGGAATGACCGGCCAGCGCGTGGAAGGCTCGGATCACCAAGTCCGTTACGTGGCCCTTACCCGGCAGCAGGAACGGATGACGTGCACGCGCGTGGACAGGCGCAGCGCCCAATCTGCCTCCGACACAAATGATGCCATCTTGAATCTGGGGATTGAGCCGGAACAGAGGACTGGATCGCTTGACCAGGCCACCTCTCTTCAGCGAACTCAGCTCTTCTGGAAACGCCGACGCCTGCACGACGCCAACGATTGCCCTCTCTGCTTGATCGAGCTCTTCCACCGTGATGCGTCCGCTGAAAGATGCTCCCTCTTTCCCTGACTTCCGCGCCTTGAGGATCTGCGCCACGCGTCTGATCCACACAACTGCTCTTTTTAGCCGGTACCAGGTTGAGTAGTGCCTAATCAGCCTCCAGGTCGGAGTCTCTTCCTCGATGACAGCTGTGGCGACCTTGACTTCTTTCCTCACTTCTGGGTCGTCTTCTTCAGTGACCATGGCTGCCGGCATCTGAGGCCACCGCGCCTCCTCTTCACACAGGAACTCTGGGCCGCGCAGCCAGCGCTCGGTCTGCACTCCTCTGGTTGCATCGTCGGCTGGGTTCTGCTTGGAGCCGACGTGTCTCCACTGGCAGGTTGCTGATCCATCACGGATCACTGCGAGGCGGTTTGCAACGAAGGTGTGATACCTGGCCCGGTCGTTTCGGATGTACCGCAGCACGGTGGTACTATCTGTCCAATAGTAGACTCCGTGGATAGACATCTCAAGAGCCTTCTCCAGCATCGTGCTTATCCTGACAGCCATCGTGGCTGCAGCGAGCTCCAACCGCGGAATTGTCATCGCCTTCAATGGAGCCACGCGTGCCTTTCCAAAAACGAACGCACAGTGAACCTTGCCGGCAGAGTTCGTGAGGCGCAGGTACGTGACACAGGCGTAAGCCTGTTGGCTGGCGTCCGAGAAGTTGTGCAACTGAGCCGATACGACGTCGCCAAAGCCAACTGGCCGGTAGCATCTCGGAAGCGTCACCTTTGCCAGTCCAGGAAGATTCGCCACCCATGCTTCCCACTGTGTTTTCTGCTGCAAAGGAATGGACGAATCCCAATCCAACTGCAGCCTCATCAAGTCCTGCATGATCAGGCGTCCTCGAACAACGGCTGGCGACACGATTCCCAGGGGGTCATACATGGCTGCGATCATCGAGAGAATGCCTCTTCTGGTAGCCGGCGAACTTCTTGTTGTCACCCTTACGCTGAGTGCATCGTCCTCCAACGTCCAGCACACACCCAGGACCTTCTCCACTGGAAGCGCGTCGATACTCAGGTTCAGCTCAGTGACACATCTCCCACGTTCTTCCTTTGGAACCGACTCGAGCAGCTCACGGCTGTTGCTGACAAACTTCGTTAGTCGGAAACCGCCAAGATCACACACATCTTTCAACTCCTTCGCCATCTTCACAGCATCTTCTGGCGTTTCAACTGACACAAGGCAATCATCTACATAGAACTTCTGTTTCACAGCCTTGCTCACTTCGGGATCACAGTCTTCCTTGTCATCAGCACACTTTCTCAAAGCGAAGTTGGCACAGCTTGGAGATGAGCTTGCCCCGAAGCAGTGCACGGTCATCCGGAACTCCTCCGGATCTCTGGAGAAATCGCCACCTGGCCACCACAAGAACCTCATGACGTCTCGGTCCTCTTCAGGAACAGCTACCTGATAAAACATAGCTTCCACGTCAGCGACAAACGCGCAAGGACCCTCTCTGAACTGCACCAAAACATCTGTCAACGAGTTCGCTAGATCTGGCCCCTGCATGAGAACACTGTTCAGGGAAACGTCCCGAAACCTTGCCGCACAATCGAAGACTACTCGGATCTTCTCCTTTTTGAACGGGTGGTAAACCCCATGATGAGGTATGTACCACACCTTTCCATCATTTCTTGTCAGGCTCTCCGTGGGAACCTTCTCGGCATGTCCCTTCCTGAACATGTCCTCCATGAATTTGCGGTAGTCTTGAGAGAACTTCACATCCTTCTCCAATTTCTTCTTGAGGCCCACGAGTCTTCTTTGAGCGCATGTCTTGTTGTTTGGCATCGCAGGGTCAGTATCTCGGAATGGCAACGCTATTTGGAAGTGTCCATTTGCCTGTCGTTTACAACTCCGAGTCACCTTCTCCATCCAGCGACGATCCTCCTCTGAGGGCCCCTTCTCGGTGGCGCTGATCTTCTCTGGAAATTCTTTGTCGTACATGTTAACCAGCATCTCATCAAGCTTCATCTTGTCAACTTGCACGCGGTTTACCTTCACTCTTCTTCCATCCAGCAGAGAGTTGTGCCTCGGGCCCTGCACCACCCAACCCAAGTCTGTTCGAATAGCGTACGGACCACCGTTCTGACTTCTTCTGATCTCTACAGGCTGGAGAGCTTCTGGGCAATCATTTCCTATCAGGAGTCCAATCTCTGCATCGATGCGGGGCAACTCGATCCCCTTCAATTGGGCACACTGATCAACATCTTCACTTGAGGCCATATCCTCATGCTTCACAGGGATGGCACTGAGAGTGTAAGTAGGAGGGAGTGGAATCATGTTGTCGCCGTCCAAGCCGGCAACCTTCAACCCTCGTACTACACGACTGTCCAGCTCCTGGTTCTCGACTGAAGCTGTGGTCATAGAGATCTTGGTGTCTTCCCCAACAACTCCCAGCTCATCCAGAAGAGACCTTGAACAGAATGTAGCTGAGCTGCCTCCATCCAAGAAAGCGTAGGTCTCAACTTCCTTACCACCATCCGAAGACCACACCCTGACTGGCAAGATGGACATCATGACGGCTGGCGTCCTCGACTTCAACCCATCACCTGTTTTCAGCAGATCAACCCCCAGGCTCTTCACTCTTGTTTGTTCTTGAGGACTCTGCGTCCGTTCTCCTTCACTTGGTTGCTGAGGCTGCTGTTCATAGTGCAAAGATGTTGGGTGTCTTTTCTTACAGATCGCGCATGTCCTCCTTCTGTTACAGAACTTTGACACATGTCCTTTGTTGAGACATCCAAAACAGAGGCCGTTGTTCTTTACGAAGGTCTCCCTTTCTGTGCGACATTTCATCCTTAGATTCTTGCAGGCCTCCACGTGATGCTCTTCTGCACAGAAGAGGCAGGCCCGCTGTTGATCAGCCCCGATGCGGTTGCACTTCTTTACTTGACCTCTAGGGTTTGAGCTTCTAGGGTCTGACGTCTTCTTCGAGAAGTTCGAAAACAGCTGACGACCAAAAGAGGAGTTTGACGCTATCCGTGCCTCTACCTCAACGAAGTTCACCAGGTCTGTGAATGAAGCTTGTCTTTCATTCCTTTCTGCGATCCTGTCCACTTCTCGTCTCCATCCCTCTTGAATCGAGAATGGCAACTTCTCGAGAAGTCTCCGTAGGGTTTTGGGATGGTTGAGTTCATCGGATCCACCCAGGCTTCCAACTGCATTGCTGCAGGTCCGCAGCTCCACTGCCAGGCGATCCAGAGCCGTCACGTCATCATTTCTTACCTGAGGCCAGGTCATCAACCTTTCGATAAAAGATTCAGTCATTTTTTGAGGATTGCCATATCTCTTCAGCAACAATCTCCTCGCCTCCTGGTATCCACCTGATGACATAAACATGCACCCTCTGACAATATCACGTGGTACTCCTGAAGTGAACTGCTCCAGGTAGCAAAGCTTGTCGCCTTCATCTGTCACAACGCTGTCAATACGTCCGTCAAAGGCCCTGAGAAACTGATGAAACCTGGTCGGGTCTCCTGAAAATACCGGAATCTCAGGTTTAGGAAGGATGCTTGATGTCAACAGCTTCCTCATCAAAGCAGAGTGAGGGTCCTCACCATCTACTCCTCCAACTTCCGGAGCTGATACCTGGGGGCGAGAGACCTGCTTCACAGTGACTGGGTTCTGACCAAAGTCATTTGCATGTTGGTCAACACCTCCAGAGACAGCAGAGTTTGGGCTGCTTGCCGTCAGTGCTGTTTCAATAGCCTCTGACTCCGCCAGGGCTTGCTGCAGCTCGAGTTCCTCTTTCTTCATCTTGAGCTCTTGTTCTTTGAGTTCCAGTGCTTGTTTCTCTCTCAAGTACTTCATTTTAACCTTCAGAGCAGCTTGCTTGGCAGCCTGCTGAGCCCTCAGAGACGCCAGTGTCCCTGACGATCCTGAGTGCCTGGATGCTAGGGACGCACCCACTTGAGACACACTGTCACCTGGCTTCACATCATCAGTTGGCTGACCTCCGTCCCCTTGCTTTCGTCCTCTTCCGTCCTCTTGGTCTTCGATCAGCATCTTCAGTCTTCGATCAGCATCTTCAGGATTCACCGGGGCAAGGTAGCCCGGACCACCTGGACTCTTCACCTCTGGCTGGCTGGGCACTGGAGCGCTGACGTGCTGCCTCACAATGGCTGACGGATCTTCTGTAGACTCATCTGCCTGTTCCATTCCACCTGTAGGGTTGCCAAACAGCTGAGCAACAAAGAATGCCTCATCAACACCTTCACCATGAAGAACTTCTCTCAATCGTTCTACAAGAACTGCTTTAGTTCCTCTGATGTCAACATTTCTTGCTAGCAGCTGTGCCTTCAACAATGGAACTGTTAGGCTCGACAAGTCCATGATAACTAAAGACAGAAACCTCAGATCTTCTGAAGAGTAATGATCCTCTCAACCCCTCACTGAACTTATCGATGGCCTTCCAGGCTGAGGATTCAGGAATATCTGGCAAAGGACTCCAGGCAGAATTATCAGGAGCTTTCAAGTTTCAACATTTGACAACTGAAATGTCACCTTCTACAGAAGTCAAACCCGTCAACCTGGTTATGGATGCCCTACAAAATCACACTTTCTACAGCATGGGCATGTTCCACTCATTCAACAGCCAATTCTACAGATATAACAACCGTCTCAACATTTAACATCAGGCAGCACATTCACTATCTCCAGTTGACGACAAACGAGGCTATGCACAGCAACATATCTGAAGGCACATCATCACAAAGTTAAATCACCAGCTGCAATTTGGTAGCAAGCAGTAAAGACAAGTCCTTAGCAGCATATATGAAACAGCTGTCTCTGCTCACCACAGTTCAGATGCAGTTGGCGTAATGCCAAGTACTGGTCAGGTCTCACGCAGGTTGCTGTGCAGCAGGTGACAGCCAGGCTGCGGAAGTGCAGGCTGAAGATCCCCTCATCAGGAGGAGGTGAAGCAGTAGATACGCCAGTTGCAGATCTGGAGACTGCACTTGTGGTTTCCAGCGTCTGTGACGTCCTTCAGGCGAATTCGGAACTGTGACCGCCTGTGCGTTTTGCAGCAGTTCGCTTGTTGCCTCAAAGTGGGCTCGTAGCAGGTGTCTCACTCGCCGGGCCCCTCTTAGAGGCGATATCTCGGTACTCATGTATTATGCCGGGTTGACACAACACACGGTTCCTAAAACGAAAAATCACACAGTCAAGTCCCATATAGCACTTGAGGACTTACTATTCGCCTCCTCGCCTGGCGCCGTGCCAAAACGGTTTAGATCATTCAAACTAGGTAAACGAAAGCGACAAAACACAATAAAAGTACCGAGAAACAGAATAACAAATTAAATTGAACTAAACCAGCCTAAATAACCTAAAAATAAACATCTTACCGAATTATATCGCTTTTACCACTGCAGACACAGGCCGGCCGCCTTCTACACAGGCTCGGCGGGGCAAAAACTAAACGTCTCAAAACATACATGAGGAGAGCCCACGCTGGAGGTTGCGGCCGGTAAATAAAAGGAATAAAGGACAGAAATACATCTTCGCGCTTACAGATGGCTAAAGCTGAGGGAGTGATCTAGCATTGATTATTAGGGTGTTGATGGTGACTTGTAAACGACTCAAATTTTTTTTGAGTCGATTCTTTGTTTGAGTCGGAAATTTTGAATCGATTCATCAAATGACTCATGATGCTAAATTTAATCGATTCGAATCAACTCATGACTCATCAAGTTCCTCGATGAAGTGATTCGAATCAACTCACGACTCATCGAAAAATGGTTTGATTCTGAGTCGATTCACGAATCAACTCAGAGTCGTTTACAAGTCTGCGAAAGAGGCACAGTTTGTCGCCTTGTTTGATGTTTCATGAGGTGAAAGAGGCAGAGGGCTAATGTACTTTGGTTGCCCTTGTCAAACGATTGGCTATACTGCCGTTTTCCTACCCGTCCCGTGATGCCCCGTGCCGCAGCGAAGTGTCTGCCATGCCTTGTGATGCTGTAGAGGTATGGAGTGGTGCAATGCGGTACGATAGACAAGGAAGTGCGACAGTGCTGGGTTCCTGCTTTAGGCTCCTGCATTGGGCGATATCTGCCCCACTTCCGCTCGAAGGCTTGTGCCGCTTTTTCAATCTCGACATTTTTGTCGGTGAAAAGTGAAAATCCATAGGCGCAAGGCCGCATGAAATCAACTTGAATTAGCGGTAACAAGATGTCAGATTTGACCTTTCCTCGAAGCCTGATAAATGAATGTTTGTCCTCAATGCGATTACTGACAAATGTGGTACGCTCAAAATAGCATGCGTTACCAAACCGAGTCTGAGACCTATCAATACTAATAATAATCTCTCCTTATGCCGTCGAGCTGGGAGGCCAGTAGAGTTTAGCCACGAGGCTCGTAATCACCGGAGAGGCACTCCTGTGCAGGGCCCGCCCCTTTTCGGTGTTCACTGATGATTATTGAGGAGTGGCCTGCCTCGGTTGATGCTGTTTGGTGTGGACCGAACTCCGCACGGCTTGTCGGCCGTCTTCTGGAGGCGCAGGTGTCGGGAGAAGGTATGACAAGCTTAAGGCGATGATGGATATGCTTGGATTATGGGGATGAGTTTGGTTTGATGGTTCAGCTATTGGCCAGAGCATAGGGTGAAGTCGTATAAGAGTACGCACTTAGTGGATTTCTTGCTCTCATTTGTTTACTATTTGAAGGAAAGAAATCGCAAATAGGGAATATTAAAGTTCATTGAATTAGCCATCAACTCATGGGGCAACGATCCTTCAGCGTAAATGGAAGTGGTCTAAAACTGACATTTTCTGAACCGTTGCACTTGCGTACTCTTACCATATGGGGTGTGTAAGAGTAGGTACGCACGCCAGGCGGGTGGAGTACGCAAGCATATGAACACACACCTATGCAGCTTGCACTGTCCAAATGCTTAACCTCAATCTGAGAAGGCATTTAAGTTAATTCTAGTATCCAAAAAGAAAAACATAAAATAAATCTTTCAAGTCTATAAATCAGGAAATAATCATGTCGTGTGTTTCTTAAAAAAATGCACAATCAAAAAGGAGAATAACTCGTATTTGGAAGAATTTCGGGTACGCATCTGCATCACAGTGCTCCATTGATGATATACCTACAAAGCAATCGTCATTGAGCGATAGATTAATAATTCTATATTTCTGTATATTCGATTTAATGTATAATTCTGCGTACTCTTACCCTCCTGAACAGTGCGTCCTCTTACCGTACATGCAATTCGCGCACAAAACAACCCCGAAACGTTGTGCAAAACTTCGCAAACAGAATATTGCACTGTACAGTATTTCCCCAGATAACCTCACAAGTTTCCCACAACAATCACGGAAATGTTCCTTATCTCAACTGCCAAGTATCAAAATTATTGTACCATATCATAATAATATCATAACGCTAGAAAATAATATTCATCGCCTTAAACTCAACAGCGTCGCCGCTCAACGCCCACGTTCCGTTGGTGACATGCACGCACTGGCGGCTTCATGTCACTTCATGAACTCGACAAACCCGCGTTGCTAAGCAACCGAAACAGCTGATGCGTACTCTTATCGCCCGCGTACTCTTACCCGCCCTTACCCTATGTATCTGGAGAGCTCGGTATGCCTAGACATAGACCTCGGTATACAGAGTTCCATGTGCTGGGTCTTCTTTGACGTGCTCGGGAAAGTGAAGCAATGAAGCCATGCATAAGTGTGGCTTCGTATTCCCCAGTAAATCAAAATTGCCACCCACGTTTCCGGAAGAGGCTTACGTGCCAGCTGACCGTTGATATCACTTCAAGGTGCTCGGATGTGTGCCGTGAGACCACCCAGTCACGGAGGGATCTGTTGTGGCCGCGCCCCCGCGACCCAGCGCCGCGCTCTACACAGATTACCGTCAGTCGTTCAGTCGATTCGAACGGCGTGAGGAGCATGAATGTTCCCACAGGGGATTTGGGTGCCGTGTCAGACCGGCCCAAAGTCGCGGCCCACGCTGAAGGTTTGGTGAGGTCCCCTGCTGAGTTGCTCCCACTCACGCCCACCATTCAACTCTGGCGAGCTGGTGGTGGGGATTTGAATGTCTGCTACCTTGGACAGGTCTACATCCGTATTTGGAGTTTTGCGGCATTGCTGGACGCGAGACAGGTGATCTTGGTGGCAGGCTTTCGCCCGCAGTGTCTGCGTTTGGAACGGTGAAGCTTGTTTTTGGTTTTGTTGCTGGTTTACCGAATTGCGGCTTTCATTAGCTGTTGCTGCCTTTTCGTAGGTGTCCTTATTTGGACCCTACCGATGTGTAATCGTTCCTGAGCTTTGCTGAACAATCAGCCATCCTAGGCATACCGCCGGCTGATGTCAGCGGGAAAGGTTTATAACTAACGGGACTGTAGCGGCTTTTGTACTAACTGGCTGGTTGCGGTAGGCATCCACGGTGCCACAGACCTGTCCGCCTAACTGACCGAAACGTCTCGTGCCCCAGGTCAGCCTGGCGGTCATAATTTACCTACAGCTCTACTATTTGGGACGGAGAATGTGTTATCCCTGGAAACTTAGGCAGTATTTCAAGCCTCTCACCAGCTGATCAACTACCAGCCCCCGCAACGTCCGTGACACGTTCCGTTTGACCCAGAAAACCACCACCAAAATATCACGGACGTGCGTCCGCATCGGACCAGTGCGTCGCAGTCCCCCCCCCTCCCCAAGGTCACGCCCCCCCCCCCCCCTGGAATGCTCGAACCTACCCGCCCGAGTGGGGCTGTCTGGCAGTGCGCCGATGTGCCGGCGTTTCAGACCGGTTCAATGCTCACTCGACTGGGCCAGTTCTTCGAAGCACCTCTCTGATAGTGTCGGTTGGTGTACCTCGACAGGGGCGCGGCCCTGTACCCCATACTAGGAACATATGCTGGATTTGGGAGCGCCGCAGTGACCAGCTGGGACCGATTTGGAGGCGGGGAGTCGTGTAAGATCGACAGATGATTCATGGCTGCATTAGCGCTCACGATGGCTTTGAGGGATGGCTGTATGCAGATTAGGATATGGTTGAGTGAGAGAGGCTGTTAGTTGTTCCGTGTAAGAAGCTGTGTGTTGTGTCTAGGTTTGGTATGCCATACTGGTGAAATATGTGCATGGACTATGTAATGCACTAAGACATTCAAAGTCGCCGTCCAAGAGCTTGGAAGACTTATTGTCCAAGAAACATGCCTCATTTATCCATCGATGAAGGGCCCAGAAATGGTCCAGGGTATAAAACAGCGTAAAGAGTCAGACCTATGTTTTCTTAAAGGATGGAAGTGATGTGTGATGACAATTACCGCAGGCTCGTTGCGGTCTTTGGGACGGTTTGGTCTGAGTTCCAGCGGTGGCTGCTTTGTTATGATGGAATGAGAAAGCCTGTCGCACAGTGGCAAGCAAAATTGCAACACGTGTTGCGCACTTTTCCCTAAAACACCGTTTCGTTATCTAATCGAGCTATATCCGACCACAGGAAATCACCTTAATCCCGCACTCACGTCTTCAATGTCGTGCTTTGTCGGCGGTCGCCTAATCAGATTACCTACCTGCGTGGTATCGGCCCTTGGGGCCGAGCTTTACGAGGCACGGGACCGAGAGGCCTGCCCTGTCCCGTTGATATCCGTCCTCGCCCCTGTCCCGTCCCATTCAGTCCCACCGTCCCGACAAGGGTCCCTGTCAGCGGGAGGCCGGGAGTGCTCCCATTGTGTCCCGTCCGGCTGCCGCTCGGGCCTCCCCCCCCCCCCCCCCTCCCCG